CAATTAGCCGACATTTTCACAAAACCTTTAGAGAAAGAGTCGTTCTTCCGCATTCGTAGTGAACTCGGAATCCTTGACTCCACGATGATCTAATTTGTGCATTTTATCATTCTTTTATTGTTACTGGAACGTTTACTAACTTGAGCGTCGGAGGGTTTTCTAACTCTTTTTTGCAGGGACGGTTCGAAGTGAAGAATTCTGGAAATCAGGGGGAACCAGCGATGGGTGGATTGTACCATCGCTGGGAGGGAAGTGTTATTTTTTTCAGAACCCCTCTTCCCATCGATGGGTGCTTCTTCCCATCGATGGGTAATTGACTCTATTTTTTAAAAATACTTACCGGATTTCCAGAACACCTTAACCCATCGATGGGTATTTTATCCCATCGCTGGGTGAAGGACTTTTATCAAAAAAAATTTTATCTCATCGCTGGGTGAAGCGTCTTCTACTCTACATCCTCACCCGGATTCTTCGCCCCCGGGACAGTAGCCACACGTGCCTCTTCAACGAGGATCTCAAGGCCGTTCATGCTATCACCCATGGCGCCTCGATCAATTGGGCGAAATACGTCATGATTCACATGGCGTATTGCGCCTCCATCACCAACGAGCGGAGCTTGCCATACGCCTTTCTCGTCATGGACCTCATCGTCTCCGCCGACATCCAAATCGCCGGCCCGGATACAAAGATGACGAAGATTTGGATCATCCAAGATAGCACCTTCCGGAAGAAGTCTGGAGACCAAGACGGCGCCGGACCAAGTCGCGCCCGTGCACCAGCCCGTGCCCCTGCCCCCACTCCCGCCCGGACCTCGTTGCAATCCATAGCCGATACTCTGAATCGGCTAACCCTCACAGTGGATGGCATGGGGCAGTCAATCGAGCGGATGGATTGGACGCTGCAACGTCAACACCATGACATGACGGCGTTCTTCCGCGGCATCAACTACGTCCCGCCTCCCTTTGACAGCACCATCCTCGGCCAGAACTATGAAGGCGAGGACGAGGAGGATGACTCCTATGCTCCGTCTTCCTCCCCCGACGAGGCCGACTTTGAGGACGCGGTCGACGGGGATCCCATGGACGTCGAGGACGACGAAGAAGACGATGACGTCGAGGACGAGGACGCCGATGCCTAGACTCTTCTTTTCTTTCCTTTTCCTACTATGATTGCACTTCTTTTACTTCCATTCCGTTGTATTCCGCATTTTCCCTCATTTTAATAAAAGTTCACTTTTAAATTCTAAAGTTTACTTTAATTCTTTTTGTTAATGTCAAAAGGGGGAAGATATCAAGGTTATGCATAAATTGAGGGGGAATTCTTTATGGCATCTTTTAAGGGGGAACATTTTTTAGTTTCAAAACAATCATCATATGCATAACCTCATCTCGTTTGCCATTATCAAAAAGGGGGAAATTGTTGAAACACGGGCTTGTCACGTTTTCGTACTAAAGCCGTGTTCGTTTTTGTAACAGGTTTTGATAATGCCAAACCGCCGTGATCAAGACAAACATTGAATATACAAGGCGAAGAACGAAGATAAAGAACAAGAGCTAAAAGAGACCAAGAACGAAGACCGAAGTCTTTAGTATTGTTGAGTCGGTCATAATTGTAATCAAGACCGACCCAACCCTCACGCATTGGCCCTTTAGGCTAAAACCTTTCACTGCACTTCTTACATCATAAAAATGTTTTTCAAACTTGTTTAAGTCATTAAAAAAACACTTGGTGTTCGCCCAAACCAAAAACCAAGCCATCCAGCGTTCGGGTTTCAAAAACCGGGGTTCGGCTTTCGGTTATCGGCTATGGTTTTTGGCGTCCGAACCAACCGAGTGGTTTTCAACTTTTTATGATTGGTTTTCACTCTTTGGCATGATTAAACGGTTCTCCAACAAAAACACTTTGAAAACCATCTTTCGCTTTTGGTCGTTTGACAAAAATCATTCAAAACGGCATGAACTTGGCTAGCCGTGGTTTTCACTCAAATGACGTGGTTTTTAAAGTGTCTTACTTAATTTCTTAGCAAAATACATCAAATAAGTGTTTTAAACACTTGGTTTTTATTTTGGAGAACTTTGGATTTTTCGGTCGGTTTTTGCATCGGTTGGCTAGGCCGTGGTTAAGGCAAAGACCATGGGTTTTTGGCTAACCACCCACCCAGCGATGGGAGGATCTTCCCATCGATGGGTAAGCGGTCCCTAAGCCAAACCTACTTCCAGAACCATGCCAAACAGCGATGGGGAGTTCTACCCATCGCTGTTAAAGCCTTGGTGCAATATTAACACAAGGCAGAACGACCTTACCCAGCGATGGGAAACCTATCCCATCGATGGGAACCCAGCGATGGTAAGGGTATACCATCGATGGGAAAGCTTGACCGTTGGTGGTCATTAAAGGTTGATTCTTTCCTTGTTTGGAAGTCAACCTCCCACCCAGCGATGGGAAGC